CTGTCGCCCTTCCCCTTGCCTGTCGCCCCTCTCCTTGCCTGTCGCCCCTCTCCTTGCCTGTCGCCCCTCTCCGTTGCGGCAGAATGAAACAAAAGTTTCCTTTTGACTCTAAAATGTAGTGAAACCGTTTTTCTGCTGAAGCGTGCAAACATGAAGGACACGCCCCTGGCAACCGTAACTATGGCGCACTGGAGTGCACGGAGGGCGCTCAGTTTGATTGACCATAGTTGGTTAGCAGCTGTTTGGACTTAGAACTGAGCCTGAGGACACAAGCTCAGTATCAGAACTTTTCCAGGAATAATTACCTGAATAAGGAGCTTCACAAACTCTTTTGATAGTTAACTTTAGAAATTTTATCAGAAATAAGTTCTTAAAGCATCAAAAGAAAAACTCAGCTTTTCAACGTAAGGCCCCGCCCCTTACATCAGAAGGGTCGTCAATTTTCTATCAGAAAACAATTAAAACCTCTGTAATAATCCTGTAAAATCTGTCAGTGTGTCTCTCCAGCTCTGTTTGGAGGCTCCGCCCCACCAGACAGGCTCCACCCCCCAGACAGTCTAAGGCTCCACCCCACATCAGACACTCCAGTAAGTGAGCAACTGAAACTGAACCAGGTCGGTTCAGGTTCAGAGAGCTGATCTGCGATCTTTCCAACAGGACGAGGCGACGAGCGACGAAGGTGAACAAACTGACGGGAACCGGAGCAGCGACGGCGCCGCCCAGAGCAGCGACGGCGCCGCCCAGAGCAGCGACGGCACCGCCCGGAGTCTGACGGAGGCCACCACGTTCAGACAGGTGGAACACAAACGCCTTCAGTCCGTCTTCAGGGGTTAAAACCCGTCAGTGACTGCAGATGTGGACTGAACACACCCACATCTGTTCTCATCCATATCTTTGTCACTGCAGAAAACTGTTTCTTACTTTGGTTCTAATGGAACCCGGTCAGAACCAACAGCTGATTGGACCGATACAGGACAAACTCTCAGATTAAGTTCACTTTTTTTTTAACTTTACTGAATTTACTCTCTGCCAGAAAACAACCTCATCAGTTTGATAAACGGATCAGGGTCCAGAACCTGATCTGGACTAGTCCAGAACCTGATCTGGGCCAGTCCAGAACCTGATCCGAGCCAGAACCTGTTCTGGGCTGAGAACAAACCGAGTTAAACTCGTAGAAGAGCTGAACTCTCCACTCCGTTCTGCATGAAGGTTCTGGAGAACCGCTGAGTCCGTTTGTTGTGCCTGTGGCGCCGCTCAGCCCCGACCCGTCGTCTGGGTTCTGAGAGGCGCCTGATGAGTTGGATCCTGGACTGAACCGGGCCTCTGCTCTGTTTCCTCCTCCAGACGCTGACAGCTGCAGAGTCTTCAGAAAATGAGCCGCAGGCTCCAAGGGCACCGCTGGAGCTCCAGGTAACGACAGAAGCACGTGGCTGAAGCTTTTTAAAGTTTCTGTTGGTTTTTTTTTTTTTACCCAAAAAAAGTTGTTTATAAAAGAACCAAGATCTTGATGTCCTGTTCAGAACCTTATCTGACCCAGTCTTCGTGTCAGAACTTGTGTTTTCTGCAGACTGTGATGCGTTCACTGTCGTTACGGAACATTTAGTGTTTGATGCAGTGCATGCAACAGCTCTGTGGTCTGGAACCAAAGGATTCAGAACCTGTTAGTGTATGTGGACACTTGCTGGTTGATTACGGGTCAGAACCATGAAGTCTGGTGCAGCTGCTGAACATCAGAAGTTCTGGATTCAAAAAGCGTTCAATGCAAAAACAACTGGACTTTATTTGTAACAGAAGACGTTTCGCTCCTCATCCGAGGAGCTTTCTCAATTCAAAGAGCAGAGAGTGAGAGATACAGGTTCTAAGGCTGAGTGAGATAAGACACACACACACATCTGTAGATTTGACAAATGACACCTCCACACCTTAACAGTTCGGGTTTCTTAAAGTCTTTGTTCCTCTAATTCACAGACGAGGCCCCTCTGTTCCCATCAGGTGTGAAACCGGCTGGGAATCAGTCTTAAAGTTGCATTATATGTTTTTGAAAGTGGAAATCTGAGGCCTCCTCCTCTGTTAAGAGACAGTTTTTCTCTTTTTACATAAATTGCTTCCTTCACCCCCCTCTCAAACCATCTGTGTTCTCGGTCCAAAATGTGCACATTTTGGTCCTCAAAAGAGTGTCCCTTATCTGTGAGGTGGAGGTGAACAGCTGGATCTTGTCCTGTGGAGCTGGATCTCCTGTGTTGAGCCATGCGTCTGTGAAGAGGCTGTTTAGTTTCTC